GGAGGCTGAGGCAGGAGAATTGCCTGAACCCAGGAGGCGGAGGTTGCGGTGAGCCGAGATTGCGCCATTGCACTCCAGCCTGGGTAACAAGAGCGAAACTCCGTCTCCAAAAAAAAAAAAAAAAAAGATTTACTCGAGTTCGTTTTTCCTTCAGTAATTTTGTCAATGCAGCTATTAACGTTCACAGATGTCTCCAGAACACAGCTGACTATCTCCTGGGTGAAGACAAGACCTTCTTCTTTATCCCTCCCTTTACCCAAATACACTTTGCATAGATCAAGTGTAGTAAACGCTGTGGGAAGGTTGAATTAGGAACTTGGAATTGTAGCTAATTCCAGATTTTGGGTAAGTGCTTACCCTCCCCAAGAGATTCAGACCTATCCAACATTTCTCCATCTCCAAAGGCAGCCTTTCAGCCCCCTCTCAGCCACCTCATGTTTTCAAAGAGCAGCTAAGAAAATAACATGGATTCATATCAGTTTATTTTCCTGCCCTTATGACAAATTGGAAATAAAAGCCAAGCAGGGCTCCTCATGGTGCAGAGAACCAGAGCTGCTCTGAGTTGATTCTGAGCCAAGTTAGAAAAGAAAATTGGCCCCGGTGTTCCTTCTGCTATCTCAACCCCACTCCGTTTATTTTTATTTTTATTTTTTGAGATGGAGTCTCACTCTGTCCCCCAGGCTGGAGTGCAGTAGCACGATCTCAGCTCATTGCAGCTTCTGCCTCCCAGGTTCAAGCAATACTCCTGCCTCAGCCTCCCAAGTAGCTGGGATTACAGGCGCCCGCCACCACACGTGGCTAATTTTTGTATTTTTAGTAGAGATGGGGTTTCACCATGTTGGTCAGGCTGGTCTCGAACTCCCAAACCTCAGGTGATCCGCTCACCTCGGCCTCCCCAAGTGCTGAGATTACAGGTCTGAGCCACTGAGGCTGGCCCTCTTCCCGTTTACCAACTGGGCTTTCTTTTATGGGCAGGGGGGAGGGCAGAGTTTTACTCTTGTTGTCCAGGCTGGAGTACAATGGCACGATCTTGGCTCACTGCAACCTCCGCCTTCAGGGTTCAAATGCTTCTCCTGTCTCAGCCTCCCAAGTAGCTGGGATTACAGGTATGTGCCACCACGCCCGGCTAATTTTTGCATTTTAAGTAGAGATGGGTTTCACCATGTTGGCCAGGCTGGTCTCAAATTCCTGACCTCAGGTGATTTACCCACCTTGGCCCCCCAAAGTGCTGGGATTATAGGTGTGAGCCACCATGTCTGGCCTTATTAACTGGGCTTTCTAAAATCATGAAAATAGTTCATGCCCTTGCCTGCCATCTTGGTCACTCTAAACTTCAGGGTTTGGGGGATTCACTGGCTGGGAACCATGGCTGAACCAGAATGAACCAGGGGCTACCTTCTCCTCTTCCCTAACCCTGAGTCTCGTTCCCTCTGCAGCCTCACCTGGTCCGAGCCTTGAAGTTCCTGATGAGTTGCTCCTTCTGAGCCCCTTTGCTCACCCAGAACTTGTGGGGGATGATGTAGCTGGAATGGACACGGCACTGGGGACAGGCCCTGCAGGGTAGGGTGAGGTGGAAGGTGGGAGAATAGTCACAGGCCCCGGCCTCCTCCCTGGGGCGTTTCCCTCCCTCCCTGCCAGGCGGCCCCTCCACCACACTGACTTGATGACATCCAGTGGGAAATCCTGCCGGTTCTTCCGCCAGGTGCGCAGGCAGCCCAGGCAGTGGGCGTGGCTACAGTTGGGCAGGATGCCGAAGACCCGCTGGGCCTCTGGCTTGTCCCACACTTTGTCCATGCAGATGCCACACACCACATTCTGACTGTCCTGCATCCAGGGCAGCCACAGGCAGGGTCAGACACTCCACCCACACCCCCACATTCAGCCCCAGGGCCACCAAGCCCTCCCAGCCCCTTCTCTCCCAGCAGGTCTGGGTGTCCTAGAGGCTCAGAAAGCCATCTGTCACCACCCCTCACCCACTATCTGCCGCACCTCAAGGTCCAGGCTCTGAAGTGGCGCCGTGAGCTCTTGTACAAGGTGGAACTTCGGCAGAGACTCCTGGGAGTGGCCATGATCCCCGTCAGCAGCTGTTGGGAAAACTGTATCCACTCACTCCTCTGGCACCCACTGAGTGCTTCCTGCATGCAAGGCTCTGTGATAACCCAAGTCCTGCCCCCAAGTGGCTTAGAGTCCACTCAGAATTAGAAGCCTCTCATATAGGCCAGGCTCAGTGGCTCATACCTATAATCTCAGCACTTTGGGAGGCAGAGGTGGGTGGATCACCTGAGGTCAGGAGCTGGAGAGCAGCCTGGCCAACATGGTGAAGCCCTGTCTCTAGTAAAAATACAAAAATTACCCAGGTGTGGTGGTGAGTGCCTGTAATCCCAGCTACTCGGAAGGCTGAGGCAGGAGAATTGCTTGAACCCGGGAGGCAGAGGTTGCAGTGAGCTGAGATCACTCCAGTGTGTCAACAAAGTGAGACTCCATAAAAAAAAAAAAAAAAAAGCCTTTCATATAGCCATTTAGAACTGCCCTGTCCAATACAGTAACCACGAGCCACATGTGGCTCTTGAGCAACTGAAATGGAGCAAGTCTGAGTTGACACCTACTATAAGTAGAAAACAGGGATAGGCATGGTGGCTCATGCCTGTAACCCCAGAACTTTGGGAGGCCAAGATGGGTAGATCACTTGAGCTCATGAGTTGGAGACCAGTCTGGACAACATGGTGAAACTCTGTTTCTATCAAAAACAAAAAATAGGCCAGGTGCAGTGGCTCATGCTTGTAATCCCAGCACTTTGGGAGGCTAAGGAAGGCGGATCACCTAAGGTCGCGAGTTTGAGACCCGCCTGACCAGCCTGGAAAAACCCCATCTCTACTAAAAATACAAAATTAGGCAGGGCGCGGTGGCTCACACCTGTAATCCCAGTACTTTGGGAGGCTGAGGTGGATGGATCACAAGGTCAAGAGATCAAGACCATCCTGGCCAACATGGTGAAACTCCACCTCTACTAAAAATACAAAAATTAGCCGGGCGTGTTGGCACACGCCTCTGGTCCCAGCTACTCAAAAGGCTGAGGCAGAAGAATTGCTTGAACCCAGGAAGCAGAGGTTGCAGTGAGCTGAGACTGCACCACTGAACTCCAGCCTGGCGACAGAGCAAGACTCCGTCTCAAAAAAAAAAAAAAAATACAAAATTAGCTGGGCGTGGTGGCACATGCCTGTAATCCTAGCTACTCAGGAGGCTGAGGCTAGAGAATTGCTTGAACCTGGGAGGCAGAGGTTATGGTGAGCCAAGATCACACCGTTGCACTCCAGTGTGGGCAACAAGAGTGAAACTCTGTCTCAAAAAAAAAAAAAAAAAAAAAAAAATTTAAAATTTAAAAATAAAAAATAAGTAAAAAATACACAAGAACTATGAAAATAGCTCATGCCCTTGCCTGCCATCTTGATCTTTGTATTAAGTTTTAAAACTTAATACAAAGAAAGACTCTAGGGCCGGGTGTGGTGCCTCACACTGTAAACAGAGCGTATTGGGAGGCTGAGGCAGGCAGATCATGAGGTCAACAGATCGAGACCGTTCTGGCCAACTTGGTGAAACCCTGTGTCTACTAAAAATACAAAAATTAGCTGGGCGTGGCGGCACACGCCTGTAATCCCAGCAACTCAGGAGGCTGAGGCAGGAGAATCACTTGAACCCGGATGGTGGAGGTTGCAGCAAACCGAGATTGCACCAGCGCACTCCAGCCTGGTGACAGAGCGAGATTTAGTCTCAAAAAAAAAGAATGACTCTAAAATATTTTATTAATAATTTTTTTTTTTGAGACAGGGTCTCGTTCTGTTGCCAAGGCTAGAGTGATCCTCCTGCCTCAGCCTCCCAGGTAACTGTCACTACACTCACACGCCACCATGCCTGGCCAATTTTTGTCTTTTTTGTACAGATAGGGTTTTGTCACATTGCCCAGGCTGGTCTGAAACTCCTGGACTCAAGTGATCCACCCACCTCAGCTTCCAAAACTGCTGAGATTACAGGCATAAGCCACCAAGCCTGACTCATTCATAACTTTACATATTGACATATCATGTTGAAATGAAAAAATGATAACATTGGTAATATTGGACACAATGATTGGTGTATTGGGTTAAATATATTATTAAAATTAATTTCACCCATTACTTTTAACTTTTTAAAATGTGGCTACTAAAAAAAATGTAAATGTAAGTGTAATGTAAAATGGTGCAGCCACTTTGGAAAACAATTTGGCAGTTCCTTGAAATATTAAAGCATTGCCATGGAATCCAGCAATTCCACTCCTAGATGTATAAATAAGAGAAGTGAAAATATTTGTCCACAAAAGCTCATAGATGAATGCTCAAAGGAGCATTGTTCGCAACAGCCAAAAAGCAGAAAAAAATTCGGGAGACTGAGGCAGGAGGCGTTCTTGAGCCCAGGAGTTCAAAAACAGAGTGGGCAGCATAGCGAGATCCCATCTTTATAAAAAAATTAATTTAAGCCGGGCGCGGTGGCTCACACCTATAATCCCAGCACTTTGGGAGGCCGAGGCGGGTGGATCACGAGGTCAAGAGATCGAGACCATCCTGGTCAACATGGTGAAACCCCGTCTCTACTAAAAATACAAAAATTAGCTGGGCATGGTGGTGCATGCCTGTAGTCCCAGCTACTCGGGAGGCTGAGGCAGGAGGAGGCGGAGATTGCAGTGAGCCGAGATTGCGCCATTGCACTCCAGCCTGGGTAGCAAGAGCGAAACTCCATCTCAAAAAAGAAAAAAAAATTAATTTAAAAAAAGAAGAAAACAACAAATAAAAAAAGGAAAAACTCAAATGTCCATCAACAAATGAATAGATTAAAAAAAAAAAAAGAAGCAAAAACCCAAATGTCCATCAACAAATCAATGGAGGAACTAAATGCAGTATACCTATACAATGGAATATTACTTGGCCATAAAAATGGATGAAGCACTGATACATGCTACAACATGGATGAATCTAGAAAACATCACACTCAGTGAAAGCAGCCAGACACAAAAGACCACATATTGTAAGATTCCATTCATGTGAAAAGTTCAGAACAGGCAAACCACAGAGACAGAATGTGGATTAGTGGTTACCAGGGGCTGGGAGGGGGTAGATGAAACTGACTGCGAATGAGATGACAAAAATGTTCTAAAATTAGATAGTGGTGATGTTTGCATAACTTTGTGAATTAGCACACTGAACTGTATACTTCAAATTGGTGATTTTTTGATTTGTGAATTATATTTCAATAAAGCTGTTATAAAAATTACATATGTGACTATATTTCTATATATTCTGAATAACATTGATTTAGAGCAATAATTTAAAAAATAACCAGGCTGGGCTCAGTGGCTCACGCCTGTAATCCCAGCACTTTGGGAGGCCGTGGTGGGTGGATCACCTGAGGTCAGGAGTTTGAGACAAGCCTGACCAATATGTTAAAACCCCGTCTCTACTAAAACTACAAAAATTAGCCAGCCTGTGGTGGTATGTGCCTGTAATCCCAGCTACTCAGGAGGCTGAGGCAGGAGAATCACTTGAACCCCGGAGGCGGAGATTGCAGTGAGCTGAGATCACACCACTGTACTCCAGCCTGGGTGACAGAGGGAGACCCTATCTCAAATAAATAAATAAATAGCCACTAACATTTAGTGCATGCTGTGTACCAGGTACTGTGCTAAGCATATTAACTCCCAAAATGACCCTGTGAGTTAAGTACTATTATCAATGCTGTTTTGTAGATGAGGAAACCGAGGCCAGAGAGGTTAAGTGACTTGGCCAAGATCACACAGCTACTAGATGGAAGGGCCTGCATTTGGAACTAGGGGCTTTGACTGCATAGGCACCATGGATTCTGCTTTTAGAACACAGAGAGCAACAGAACTAGCGGAAACTTTCCCTCTAGCTGGGAATCTTGAAGAGGAAGGGGAATGGATGAAAACAAACCCTGCTCAGAGGCAGAGCAGGGACCCTAGTCTCAGTTCCCACTTGTGCCCACCTGCGGTGCCCCTGATAACTCACATGATGAAGGCAGGGACTTCCAGGAGCTGCCACCAACATCCTCATCCTTGCTGGCCAGCCCCTCCAGGCCAGGCTCTGCACTCCAGTAGGCCCTGGCCCAGCCCCAGCCCACAGCCACAGAGGGCAAGTAGGTGGGCTCGGATCCTCTGCGGGCCAGTCCTAGGTGGGGATCTGGCAGAGTGACATGGGGCTCCGAATGGCGGCGATCCCATTCCAGGGGGTCGGGGAGTTTTGGGTACTGACAGCTGTAGTGGGGAAGAAGAGAGTGAGGAGACAGGAACAGCCCTCCAGGGCTCAGAGCCAGCTCAGCCTAGAAGTTGGAGCTGGGTTGGGAGAAGCAGCTCTGGGAAGACACATGATTTGTGAAGGGACGATCTCTTCACACCCTAACATCACTCCCCAGAGGGGAAGAAGAGGGGCTTACCTGCATCCATCTCCACGATGTCCACGGAAGCAGAAGTCTTCCTCAAAGTACTTGCAGACCTGGGACACTTTTCCATCATGAGCAAAGCGATGCCTCGGCCCCCAGAGACGGGCCGGGAAAACAAAGTTCCTAAGAGAGTGTCTGAGTCATGCCCAGCCCTGTTTTAGTTCCTGCCTTTGTGATCCTTGTAGACAGAGGCTGTCTGCTACAGGGAGAGGAACACAGGCTCTGGAATTCATGTGGTGTTCAAATCTTGACCACCCTGGGGAACACCAGGTGAATAACTCACCTTCTCTAAAGCTTTGTTTCCTCACTCTTAAAAGTGGGGTAATAGGCTGGGCATGGTGGCTCACACTTGTAATCCCAGTACTTTGGGAGGCCGAGGCAGGTGGATCACCTGAGGTCAGGAGTTCGAGACCAGTCTGACCAACATAGCAAAACTCCGTCCCTACTAAAAACACAAAAATTAGCCTGGCATGGCAGCACATGCCTGTAATCCCAGCTACTCGGGAGAGTGAGGCAGGAGAATCATTTGAACCTGGGAAGTGGAGGTTGCAGTGAGCCAAGATCACCCCACTGCATTCCAGTCTGGGCAATAAGAGCGAAACTCCATTTCAAAAAAAAAAAAGGGGGGATAACAATGCCTAGCCCCTGCTGAGTTGTTGCAATGGTTTTTAAGATTTTGCACAATCCACATAGCAGGTGCTCGGTGATCACAGTCATTACCATTACGTTCCCCAAACATAGAATTGTGAGTTCTGGAGTCAGAATTCTGGGTTCACATTCTACCACCAGGCCTGGCTTCACCTGTGTGGACCTATCCAATCACGCACTCTTGCATTAATGCTCTTCTGTCCTGGTCTTGAAATGATTAATAGTTTTTATTTTTATTTATATTTATTTTTTTGAGATAGAGTTTCGCTCTTGTTACCCCGGCTGGAGTGCAATGGTGCAATCTCGGCTCACTGCAACCTCCGCCTCCTGAGTTCAAGCAATTCTCCTGCCTCAGCCTCCCGAGTAGCTGGGACTACAGGTACGCACCACCATCCCCAGCTAATTTTTGTATTTTTAGTAGAGACGGGGTTTCACCTTGTTAACCAGGATGGTCTCGATCTCTTGATCTCATGATCCACCCGCCTCGGCCTCCCAAAGTGCTGGGATTAATGGTTTTTTAACAGAGGCCCCACATTCTCATTTTGCACTGGGTCCCACAAATTATATAGCCAGTTCTGCCTGGTACTGCTACTTGGTTATGTGAGCTTGGACAAGTCACTTAACTTTCCCATGCCTCAGATTTCTCATTTGTTAAATGGGGATAATAGTAAGATCCACTTCACCGGATGATGTCAAACTTAGACAAGACGCTGTCTGTAAAGTCCCTGGCCCATAGCAAGTCCTGGGTAAATGACAGCTGTTCTCAGCAGTTCTCTTATCACTTCCCCTCCCCTCCTCCTCTGGGGAATCAAGGTGAGAGGTAGAGAAAGTGAGGGGAGGATGAGCTGGGCAAGCATTTGTTTAGTAAGAAGCTCCGCAGTGTCCAGGCCTAGGCCGGGGGTCTGGGACAGGTACAAGGTAGAGAGGAACTCAGTTGCTGTCAGGCTGCATTCTAGTCCCATGAGAGCAGGCTGGCCCAGCCCAAGCCGAGGCTCTGCCATAGTGTGGCTCACAGCTCTTCTCCAAGGTATCCAAGTGCAAGGTGCTAGCAGAGAAGCAGGCACAGGAAAGGAGAGACGGTGACAGGGCCCGCTCTTGTTGGTGAGGATGCCAGATTGTCAGTCACATGGTCCTTCGTTTATAACAGTGTGTAGAGCCCCTGCACGATAACTCTATGACTCCAGCCAAGAACCAAGAAACCAGAGCCAGGACTAGGGCAACTGAGAGACACACTCGCCTTGGACATGAAATTCCAGGGGCTGCCAAAAGAACTAAGTAACCAAGAGAAATAATTTTTTTTTTTTTTTTGAGACGACGTTTCACTCTTGTTGCCCAGGCTGGAGTGCAATGGCACGATATTGGCTCACTGCAACCTCCGCCTCCCGGGTTCAAGCCATTCTCCTGCCTCAGCCTCCTGAGTAGCTGAAATTACAGGCACCCACCACCATGCCCAGCTAATTTTGTATTTTTAGTAGAGACGGGGTTTCTCCATGTTGGTCAGGCTGGTCTCAAACTCCCAATCTCAGGTGATCCGCCCGCCTGAGTGGGTGGGATTACAGGTGTGCTGGGATTATAGGCATGAGCCACTGTGCCTGGCGGCGCGAGAAACGGTATTTTATCTCTCTCACTCTGGCAGGCCCTCAGCTTGGGCTGGGCCTGCCTGCTCTCAATGGACTAGATTGTAGCCTCTGGCCCTGTCCCTGCCCTGGGCACTTCATTTGGGATAACAGTATTTTATACAGCAATAATTTTATTTTGTTTATTTATTTTGAGATGGAGTTTCACTCTTGTCGCCCAGGCTGGAGTGCAGTGGTGCGATCTTGGCTCACTGCAACCTCCACCTACCTGGTTCAAGTGATTTTCCTGCCTAAGCCTCCTGAGTAGCTAGGATTATAGGCACAAGCCACCATGATCAGCTAACTTTTGTATTTTTATCTAGACGGGCTGGTCTCAAACTCCTGGCCTTGTGATCCACCTGCTTCGGCCTCCCAAAGTGCTGGGATTACAGGCATGAGCCACCACACCGGGCCTAGAGCAGTATTTTAAAAGATCAAAATTAATGCAGAAATATCCATGAACAAAATATGAAACTTTCAGGCCAGGCACAGTGGCTCACATCTGTAATCCCAGTACCTTGGGATCGCTTAAGCTCAGGAGTTCGAGACCAGCCTGGCCAACATGGCGAGACCCTGTCTATACTATAAACACAAAATATTAGCCAGGCGTAGTGGTGTGCATCTGTGGTCCCAGCTACTCAGGAAGCTGAGGTGGGAGGATCACTTGAGTCCAAAAGGTTAAGGCTGCAATGAGCTGAGGTGGCGCCACTGCACTCCAGTCTGGGTGACAGAGCAAGACCCTGTCTCAAAAAGAGAAAAAAAAAAACAAACTCTTGAATAAAGACAGGATCCAACCCATGCAACTTATCTCATTTGCCTTCCCCAGTCCAGGCCCTACAACACAGGCGGAAATAACCAAGACTAACGCAGATCATAGCACATTTCCGATGGAAACAGTCAATAGTGATAGAGTGGATGGCAGGGTGGGAGGTCAGGAAAGGCCTTTAAGGAGGCGCTAGTAATAATCATCACTAGTGGGCGGGCACGGTGGCTCACACCTGTAATTCCAGCACTTTGGGAAAGCCGAGGTGGGCAGATCACGAGGTTTAGAGTTCAAGACCAGCCTGACCCACATGGTAAAATCCTGTCATTACTAAAAATACAAAAATTAGCTGGGCATGGTGGCATGTGCCTGTAATCCCAGCTACTCAGGAGGCTGTGGCAACAGAATCGCTTGAACTTGGGAGGCGAAGGTGGCAGTGAGCCAAGACCATACCACTGCATGTCAGCCTGGGCGACAAAGCGAGACTCATTCTCAAAAAAAAAAAAAAAATCATCACTAGTACAAATTATTATATCATTACATAATCATATACTTATAATAAAATAATAATTGTTATTTTTACAAGAGCTGCTGAGAGCCAGGGGTGTAAGCATTAAACAGTAATTTGTGATAACACAGCAGTATGTAATTTGTGGCATTTATCCGAAGAAATTCAAAGAACTGAGTGTCACTGCTACAGCAAAGCATCTTTTACTCCCATCCGCTTATTATGTGAACAAGATTTCCAAGTGCTTTCATGTATCACTAAAAATAGGCCAACAGTCACGGTGGCTCGCAACTATAATCTCAGCACTTTGGGAGGCTGAGGCAGGCGGATCCCTTGAGGTCAGGAGTTTGAGACCAGCCTGGCCAACATGAAACCCTGTCTCTACTAAAAATACAAAAAAATTAGCCTGGCATGGTGGCGCATACTTGTGGTCCTAGCTACATAAGAGGCTGAGGCAGGAGAATAGCTTAAACCTGGGAGGCAGAGGCTGCAGTGAGCCAAGAGCACACCACTGTACTCCAGCCTGGGTGACAGAGCGAGAGTCTGAGGAAAAAAAGAAAAAAAACAATAGGCCAGGCACAGTGGCTCTACGAAAAATGGAAAAACTAGTCAGGTGTGGTGGCATGTTCCTGTAGTCCCTGCCACTCAGAAGGCTGAGGCAGGAGTATAGCTTGGGCCCAGAACTTTGAGATTGCAGTGAGCTATGGTCATGCCACTGTGTTCCAGCCTGAGTGACAAAGTGAGACCCTGTCTCGAAAATAAAAAATAAGAGTAACAAATGTATTCAATCCACCCTGCTTTCCAGCCATTTCTGCTGAGTTATCCGCATAGTAAGCTCATTGATAGGACACTAAATAAGTAGCCTGGGCTGGGCATGGTGGCTTATGTCTGTAATCACCTTGGGAAGCCGAGGTGGGTGGATCTTGAGGTCAGGAGTTTGAGCCCAGCCTGCCCAACATGGAGAAACCCCATCTCTACTAAAAATACAAAATTGACCGGACATTGTGGTACATGCCTGTAATCCCAGCTACTTGGGAGGCTGAGACAGGAGAATCGCTTGAACCTGGAGGCAGAGGTTACAGTGAGCTGAGATGGTGCCACTGCACTCCAGCCTGGCAACAGAGGGAGACTCCATCTCAAAAAAAAAAAAAAAAAAAAAAAAAAAAAAAATCAGGTTATAGGCTGGGTGCAGTGGCTCACACCTGTAATCCCAGCACTTTGGGAGACTAAGGCAAGTGGACCACCTGAGGTCAGGAGTTCGAGACCAGGCTGACCAATATGGTGAAACCTGTCTCTACTAAAAATAAAAAAATTAATTAGGCATGGTGGTGCATGCATGTGATCCCAGCTATTCAGGAGGCTGAGGCTGGAGAATTGCTTGAATCGGGGAGGCAGAGGTTGCAGTGGGCCGAGGTTGTACCACTTCACTCCAGGCTGGGTGACAGAGGAAAACTGTCTCAAAAAAAGAAAATATTATAACTTTTGCAAGCATTTATGTTTATGATGAAAACCATCAAATAACTTAGAGTGTTGAGGGTATATATAATTTTCCAAATTTCTTTTAGGACGTTTCCAAGTAAAAATGTTGGAAGATGCCTGGGCTGGTGAATGCGGGGAAACAGACAGGAGGAGGCTGGGTTGCAGTGGGGATTAGATTAGTGGGTGATAGCCAAAGTTAGGGGGGGCTTAGGGGGTGGGGGTTTAGGGGTGGGTGGAGGTGACAGTCACTGTGAAAGAGGTGAGCCTGAAAGGAGGAGCCTCTCATCTCACAGGGAAGGAGCCAGTAACCCTCAGAGCAAGGGACTTGCAGGCCGCATGTCTACTGTCCACCAATGGGGGATGTGCTGGAAAAGCTTTGCCTTTTTCTAAAGGCCACGAATGAGGCTGACCTCGAGGACTGTCAGAGGCCACCGCCCTAGCTCCTTCATTAGCCCAAAAAGTCCGCTGAGAGCTCTCCCAGCACATCCAGAGGGACTCTCTGCCCATTCGATGAGCCACAGAAATAGAAGGTAGGGGCTTTATGATTAAATCAAATTGAAAAACTCTTCAGGCTGGGAGCGGTGGCTCACGCCTGTAATCTCAGCACTTTGGGAGGCCGAGGCAGACAGATCACCTGAAGTTGGGAGTTCAAAACCAGCCTGATTAACATGGAGAAACCCCATCTCTACTAAAAATACAAAATTAGCCAGGCATGGTAGCATGTGCCTGTAGTCCCAGCTACTTGGGAGGGTGAAGCAGGAGAATCGCTTGAACGCAGGAGGCAGAGGTTGTGGTGAGCCAAGATCACGCCATTGTACTCCAGCCTGGGCAACAAGAGTGAAACTCTGTCTCAAAAAAAATTAAAAAAGAGAAAAACTCTTCCTTCTCTCTCTCTCTCTCTCTCTCTGTGTGTGTGTGTGTGTGTATGTGTACATATATATGGGGTTTTTTTAGGAAGCAAAGTACACTTGGAAGAGGGCCAAGCAGGTGGCCTGAGAGATCCAAGGCCAAATGCAAGCACCTTCTATAATCCAGGTACTGTTCTGTTTTTTGTTTTGTTTTTGAGAGAGGGTCTCACTCCAACACCCAGGCTGGAGTGCAATGGCGCAATCTTGCCTCACTGCAGCCTTGACCTCTTGGGACTCAAGCAATCCTCCCTCCTCAGCCTCCCAAGTAGCTGGGACTACAGGCCCATGCTACCACACCTGGCTAATTTTTTTATCTTTATGTTTTGCAGAGCTAGGGTCTCACTGTGGTGCCCAGGCTGGTCTTGAACTCCTGAGCTCAAGTGATCCCCCCACCTCAGGTCCCCAAAGTGCTGAGATTACAGGAGTGAGTCACCATGGCTGGCCTCTTTCTGTATTTTCTTAGAGGCATATTGCATAGTGTTCATTGTATGTAAACATATTAAAGGCTCTGATAAGTCCTGCAAAGGAACTGGTTTAATTTGATTTAATCCAGCATTGCTTAAATTTGTCCTTTTTATTACTTGATTAGGCCCTCCAGCCAAACACCTCTTAACATACCAATAAAATACACTTTGTTTGGGGGAATGTGAAATTAGTTCATTTGATCCTCAACACAAGCCTTAAAAGTCAGGAGTAATTCTTCCATTTTTAAATCCCCTTAGATGGGTAAGTAACTGGCCTGAGACTCCAAACAAGAGTGAAGACTATAGAACCCAGGTGTCCTCACTCAGCCCAATAATTCTCTCATTAACCAAGATTGACTTGTCAGGGGTGAGGGCTGCTGGATCTGGAGAATCTCTCAGGCCAAGTTCTCAGGTCAAGGGGTAGGGATAGAGCAGTCAGTGGTGACAAGTCATGCCGGCCTGGGGAGGCAGCCAAAGGGCTCGGTGACTGGGGAAGCCAAAGAGGGGGTGGGCTCACCCCAGAGCCTCGGTCCCTCAACAGTGAGCCTGAGGATTAGGGACTGGACTGCATGCAGGTGAAGGGAGGGTTTGGGAAAAGGGAATGGTTGGCGAAGGGAGAGGCCAGGTGGAGCTGCCAAATGAGCCCTCGACCGGGGTTTTTACAACCTGAGAGCCCAAATTTACCCTGAGCTGACACCCTCCTGTCCCCCTCAGGAAGGAACAATTGAAAATCTTTAGGGGCTGGGTGCGGTGGCTCACACCTGTAATCCCAGCCATTCAGGAGGCCGAGGCAGCTAGCTCACCTGAGGTTGGGAATTCCAGACCAGCCTGGCCAACATGGTGAAACCTCGTATCAACTAAAAATACAAAAATTAGCTGGGTGTGGTGGTGCATGCCTACAGTCCCAGCCACTCGGGAGGCTGGGGCTGGAGAATCCCTTGAACCTGGGAGGAGAAGGCTGCAGTGAGCTGATGTTGTGCCACTACCTGGGCGACAGAGCAAGACTCCGTCTCAAAAAATAAAACAAACAAACCTCCTTTGGTAAACATCCTCCTCCCCCCACAAGTTCCCCGCTTACTACATGGCTTCCTTTCTGGCCTGGGAAAACCGTGACACAGTGAGACCCAAGCCCACATTACCTCTCCTTTACCCAAAGTCAGTTTTCTTTGGAGAACTGATCTCTTTCAGCTGTTTGCAAAATGAATTTGTGCTCAGGTATGAATGTCTGATGAAAGACCAAAGAGCTCGCATGCCCTTTTACAAAACTGGTGTACCAAAGGCATCACTCTCTAGCGGCGCAACGTTCAACCCGGCATGTTTCGTGCAAACATTTAAGAATACCTGGCACCACGCTACATGCTAGGGCTACAAAGGTGACCAGAAGGCCAAATCCTAACCGCATGGAGCTGTGTGGTGGTTCTAGGCAAGAGAAACCTTTGTTGGATAGAAAAAGAAAGGCCAGTGGGGAATTCCCGCCCTGCATGGTCAGACCCTGAGCCGGCTCGGACACACCTGGGCAGCCTTGGCACGTCTTTCCCCTTCTCTGCTCTCAGTCTCCTCCTCTAGACTCTGAGGGTGAGAGATGATCTCCAGACCCTTCCAACTTTGGGGCAGGAGGCAAGGAAGCCGCTTCTTCCCAGATGCATGCCAAATTCTTAGAGGCTGGGCGTCCAGAGGCCAGGCCAAACTCGAATAATTTTTCCCCACCTCCCCTGTGTTCCCCTGAGGCCCAGCCCCCTACCTGCATGACCTCTGGGAGTGGCGGCTGAGCTCCCCACCATGGCCACTGCCATCTGGCCCTGCAGGGTCCATCGCAGCTGCAGCCCTTAGTGAGAACCTGTCGGGGGCTGCCCCAGTGCTCCTTTATTCCACCCTCTGGGGGCAGGGCCAAAGGGAGGAGGCGATTTACAGCCAGGCCCGCCCCTTCCCATGGCCCTAGTCGTGCTGGTGGGAGGGATGGAGGGCCCAGACAATGTGGTTGGGGAGCTGGGGGCTCAGGGTGTCCAATTCAGGCTCCAGGGCTGTGGGTGGGTATAAAGGCCCTCCAGGATGTTTAGGTAATTACTGGAGGGAAATGGGGGATGGTTTAAGGACTTTCCCAATCTGGGAAGGCAGGGTGACTTGGGAGGGGGCCAGGAGGACCTAGGACCCAGGACGAAGGACCCGGGAGGCTGGGAGTCCTGGGGCTTGGGAAGCCACGACGTGTTGTCGAAGGTATTTATGACTGAGGAAGCCACTTGGGAACCTCCCTACACCTCCAGAGCTATGTGGGCCCACCTGTGGAGCTAAGGTCGGGTGGAGAGATCAGAGAGCAGGCTGGGAGATGGTGTGAGCAGGACGGGGGCACAGGGAGGCTGAGCCAAACTGGCCGGTACTGGACAGATTCAGGAGGCTCTGGGGTCCTGCCTCCAGGCCTGAAATCTTGCCACAAAAAGTCCCTGTTGCCTGGCCTGTATTTGCCAATGAAATCAGCTTGCTAACCCAGTCACAAAAAATTAGAAGAGCCGCAAAGGCCAGAATGAGAGGTAGCCAGGAGGGGGCTGCTCAAAGCTGTGTGGTGAGGACACTCCACACTGGATTGGAGCAAGTCAGCCCATCAGAGCCTTCTTTTTGGGTATATTGAGAGTAGGTGGCTTGGGGCTAACCCTGAGTGACCCTGAGCCTATGTCCTTGCCCCCAGGAAGCCTGCGGAAACACCTGTTTGGTAGAGACTGTCCCTAAGCACATCTTCCCATACGTTCTCAATCAAGTTCCTCAAGTAGATGCTGCCTGCCTCTTCCCTGCAACCCCCCGGGGCCTGAGTGATGCCAGGGCTGGCCAGCTCTCCTGGAATCCACCGGCCCTAAGAACCAGGCTGAAGAGGGCAGAGGAGAGTAGATTCACCCTCCCCAGAATACCCCTGCCCCCATGGCAAGCTTGAGCTGGGTAATGAACTGACTCCCTGTCTCAGTGAGTCTGTCCCCAGCCCCTGATCCTGACAGCAGCCTGGCCATGGGAGTTGGACCCTGATGGAGTGTTGGTCGGGGGCTTTCTCCCCTTCTCCCTGCGATGGAGGTGCTGAGCAGCCCAGTGGGGCACAGGAACGTTGATCCCGGCTGAGGAGCCTCCAGGCTTAGCAGCGGGGCTGCCAGGAGGTTCTGTGAGCTGCTACTGCACTTTCATAACTCACTTTTCCAGGTAAACAATCTGTTGTCGAAGTTGTTTGCAGCGAAGATTATCTGATAGAGTTGTTGTGAAGATGAAATGAAGCCATAGATGAAGGCTGCTTGGCCCTGGGCCTGACATGCAGCTCAGTGAGGGTTTACAGCAGGGAAGGAGCCACGGGCGGGGAGCCAGGAGACCTGACGTGGCCCCGGACAAGGTGCCTCCCAGGCATTGGCCTCAGTCGCTGCTGCGTAATATGTGTCCGAGGAGATGGGGACCTTAGAGAAGGGGGACCATGACCTCTAAGAGCGCTTCCAGTTCTGTTTCTAAGACCCCCTGAATTCCATCTTATGGCTCCAAAGCCCATTCTGTCTCTGCCAGGCTACATTGCCCTGTGTGGGAGACAAGATGGGAAAGTTTAAAAAGACCAAACAAGAGGAATTAACCTAAAAGTTAAAGGAGAGATTTTAGAACTGAATTTTATAACTTCCTATGTCTCTCAGTAAGTTGAAACACTAAATTGCAAAACCAATCGTCCTGGGAATTTTTGTTACATATTTCACTTTTGCTGGATCAAAAAATTTTTTTTAATTTTTGTAGGTTTTACCAATATGACCTTCACTGGAAGCTGTGCCAGTTTACAATCCTACCACCAGTATGGAGTGCCTGTTTCTGCACACCCTTGCCAACACAATGTTCTCAAACTTTTTAGTATTCAATTTGGTAAGTAAAACAACAGTATCTCAGCTGGGTGCCACAGCCCACACCTGTAATCGTAGCACTGTGGGAGGTCAGGATGGGAGGATTGCTTCAGCCCAGGAGTTTGAGATCAGTCTGGGCAACATAGGAAAACCCTGTCTCTACAAAAAATCAGGGATAAGCCGGGCACGGTGGTGCACGCCTGTAGTCCCAGCTACTCAGGTGGCCGAGGCGGCAGGAGCACTTGAGCCTGAGAGGTCAAAGCCGCAGTGAGCTGTGATGGCGCCACCGCACTCGGCCTGAGTGACACAGCAAAGCCCTGTCTCAAACAAAAAAACACAAAGCAGTATCTCATTGTAGTTTTAATTTACATTTCTCTTATTATGAGTGGGGTTAAGCATCTTGGCATATTAAGAGGCATTTCCTTTTATGTTCATATCCTTTGTTCATTTTTCTGTTGGGTTGACCTTTTATTTATTGATTTATAACTCTTCTTTATATAATAAAGAAATTAGCCCAATGGTTTTGCCACAAACATTTTTACGCGATTGGTTTAACGTTGTTTTTTTTAGGCAGAAAATTTTAAAACGTATGTAGCAAAAGTTTTTAGTGTTTTACATTTTGTGGGGGGACAGTATCTCCCTCTATGTCCAGGCTGGAGTGCAGTGGTGCCATCTTCGCTCACTGCAGCTTCAAACTTCTGGGTTCAAGCCATCCTCCTTCCTCAGCCTCCCAAGTAGCTGGGACTACAGGCATGCACCAACTGGCTAATTTTTTAAAACTTTTTGGAGAGATGGGGTCTCACTATGTTGCCCAGGCTGGTCTTGAACTCCTGGCCTCAAGTGATTCTCCTGCCTTGGCCTCCCAAAGTGCTGGGATTACAGGCGTGAACCACCGCACCAGCCTGATGAACATTTTTGTTGTTTCCAAATCTTTGCTATTGTTCCTATAAACGTTTGTATGAGTCTTGGTGTGATTTGATGGGTTTCACTCTCGGTTATTGTCTCAGGATGGCTTCTCTTGGAAATAGATTTGGAAGTTTACTTGCACGCTACTTTCTGGAGAATGCTCTTTGGAACAACACCTGTAAGGAACTGAAGGAAGCAGCATTGGTTAGAGGGTTCTCCCTAACCAATTAAGTTAACCATTGAAGTTAAGCTGCAATGTAGTTATTTTTTTTTTCCCATTTATTTATTTTATTGCATTTTAGGTTTTGGGGTATGCAATGTAGTTATAAGAGAAGCCTCAGCTCTGGAGCTGGGCCGATCCTTCCAGTTGTCCCAAAACTCGTAAGAAGGCTTGGCCTTGGTACTCCCACATTCGACACAGGCTGCCCTGAGCAGGGCGTGTACATATCCTTGGGTGAGGCAGCTTCCTTTGGTAAGGGCAATTCACTGAGAGGAACTCAGCTGTGAATTCAGCAGCCAATACCCCCAACAGCTGGGTCCTGAGGAGTGGGATCTGGTTGGTGCCCCATAGCATCCACAGGCACATTTTAATAGGAAAATGCAGGGTAACAGAGTGTGTGCATCTTCAGCTTGACTAGATTTTACCAAATTGTTCTTCAAATTAAATGTACGGCACCAGCTTTTCCCTTCTGCAATGCATGAGAATTTTTATTGATCTTCTTTCCGTATTTTCAATATGCTGACTTCCCTATGTTATTTTCTGGAAAATTTCTACAGATCTTTCCTGAGGCACAAAAAATGATCTCTGTCTGTGTCTAATTCTTAACTCATTCAGGGTTTTTTTCTTTTTTCCTAGAAGCTCCAGGCATTTCTTAAACATTTTTTTTTTTCTTAAGCAAATTGGCCAGGTGTAGTGGCTTATGCCTGTATCCCAACACTTTGGGAGGCTGAAGTGGGCAGATTACCTGAGGTCAGGAGTTCAAGACCAGCCCAACCAACATGGTGAAACTCCATCTCTACTAAAAATACAAAAATTATCCCGGCATGGTGGCACATGCCTGTAATCTCAGCTACTTGGGAGGCTGAGGCAGGAAAATTGCTTGAACCCAGGAGGCAGAGATTGCAGTGAGCCACAATCATGCCACTGCCTCCAGCCTGGGTGACAGAGCAAGACTCTGTCTCAAAACAAAAAAACAAAAAAAGCAAATTAATTCCATTCTTATGCTTTGTTTTTTTTTAATGTCTTTTTTATTTTTTTGAGACAGGGTCTCACTCTGCCACCAAGGCTAGTGTGCAGTGATGCAATCAGAGCTCACTGCAACTTCAAACACCTGGGCTCAAGTGATTCTCCTGCCTCAGCCTCATGAGTAGTTAGGACTACAGGCACATATCACCATGCCCAGTGTATTAGTCTGTTTTCACACTGCTGAAAGATGTACCTGATACTGGGTAATTTATAAAGTACAAGAGGTTAAATGGACTCACATTTCTGCATGGCTGGAGAGGTCTCACAATCATGGTGGAAGGCGAAAGGCACGTCTTACATGGTGGCAGGCAAGAGAGAAGAATCGATGGTTTCTCCTTTTAAAACTATCAGATCTTGGCCAGGTGCGGTGACTCACACCTGTATCCCAGCACTTTGGGAGGCCGAGGCAGGTGGATCACCTGAGGTCAGGAGTTTAAGACCAGCCTGGCCAAGATGGTGAAACCCTGTCTCTACTAAAAATACAAAAAAATAGTCGGGCATGGTGGTGGGCATCTGTAATCCCCAGCTACTTGGGAGGCTGAGGAAGAATTGCTTGAACCTGGGAGGCAGAGGTTTCAGTGAGCCAAGATTGTCTCAATGCGCTCTAGCCTGGGCAACAGAGCAAGACTCTGCCTTAAAAAAAAAAAAAAAAATCAGATCTCATGAGACTTATTCACTACCATGAGAACAGTATGGGGGAAACCACTCCCATAATTCAATTATCTCCCACTGGGTCCCTCTCACAACACGTGGGAATTATGGGAGCTACAATTCAAGGTGAGATTTGGGAGCTACAATTCGAGATGAGCCAAACGACATCACCCAGCTAACTTCTTTTTTGTAGAGATGGGG